CCTTGGGTAAAAAGTTTTACTGATGGAATAGTTATTCCTAATGAAAAACAAAAGAAAGTTTTCAGAAGTTATCTGAATCTCGTTAAGAGAAAAGCACCAAACAGTGAAGGAATTATGTATCCTTACAACGACGGAAAAGAATTAAACATAGATGAAAACTATGAATTTGATGATTTCGATTATCTAACTATTCAAGAAGAGAATGAAGAGTGTTAATTTTTTTGTTTTAAATGAAGTTGAATAACAATTTCCTCGTTACCAAAATCTATAAACCTATTTTTACCATCCTTGATTTCCAGATTTATATCTTTAATCATAAAGGAATTAAGTGGTAAATACGTCGTTTGAAATGGTTTCTCTATAATTCTATATCCAATAGGAACAGTGAATGTTGGAAAACTGTAAATAATCTGACGTTTGTATTTATTGAAAAATCCACCATTTATCAAATTGCAATGTATATTTATCACATCGATATCATTCTCGATATTAGCTTTGTGTGGTGCTAAAGTGGATTGGGTGTATATTTTTTTTATCAAAGCCTAGTAAAGTATTCAATGAATTTTCTACGTTGAAATCAACTTGACTATTATTTCTTACTATCAATTTTATTTTGTTTAGATTCAAATTATCTGTTGATATTTTTATTTGGTTATTATTTTTGTTGATATTTCTAATGGAATTGTAAACAGAGAAATACTTTAATCCCAATTCATATTCTTGATTGCGATCGAGTTCGTACTCATAATCTAGAGACTATAGATATATTCTTTTGTATCGATTATAAATTCGGGGGTATTTGCCCTAAATCTTATTCTAAATCCATTAAACCGTAACCCTGCTTCATCAATGATTGGTGAAATGCTCTTTGGTAAATCTGGGTCAGGGTTTGAAAAATAATCGTAAAAAGATTGGGATTGGTATATGCAGTGACAGTTGTGATGTCTTCCTTTCGTGAAGAATTCTTGTTGAACAGCTTGATTTCTTTGCGCTACGCAGTCGTCAAACACTAATAAGTTCTTTCGCTCGCTATCAATTTGAGACAGATCATTAACATTTTTCGTAAGAAAAACTTCTATATCCGTTGGTTTCTTTCCTTCGATGTAGTTATCTATGAAATCTTTTAATTCCACTTTTTCTTCGTTTTCTTCGTAATATTGAAATAGGTCTTGAACATCTCTCTTTGGTAGATATTCTAAAGCTTTGAGAAATTGATAATACGATTGCTCTGGTGTTGATGTGTAGATATACAAAGAATCGAAATCTAAAAGGTTTGGTGTTGTCAACATGTTAAAAGTGAGATGAGTTTTCCCAGAACCGGAACTACCGCATATACACATGAGCATTGGGTTATTAGGAAATATTTGTGAATGATTAAATTTTTTACCCATTTTTTATTATCTTAATTTTTTCCAAAAATAACTCCTTCTCCTTTATACTTCGAAAGATATATTCCTTCTCCAGTGCGTATGTTTTTTAAAAATATTCCATTACCCTTATGTTTGACTTTGATTTCTCCTGTGTCAATACTATCTACTAATTTATTTAATCCTTGTTTAACAGTTTTCTTGGTTTCTTCACTAAATCTTTTTCCAAATTCTTTCATTGTGCCTATCATTTCTCCCACTCCTGAACCTTTCTTTTCCGTTTTAGGTTTTTTAACCTCTGCTGCCAACTTTTCCATTACTAAATTGCGTCTATGATCTTCGGCTGATTTCTTTGCGTTGGCAGCTTTTGTAGCAGCAGCTTCTGCATCAGCAGCTTTCTTTGCGTTGGCAGCTTTGACTACGGCAGCTGTACCACCAGCTACTGTACCGGCTGCAATAAGTCCACTAAATATTAAAGGTAGGGAAAATATAAATCCACCTTCTTTTGCGTTCGCGTCAATTCTTTCTTCTTTCTTCTTTCAAGTCTATATCGTCTCTGACTTTACAATATTTGTATTTATCAAGAAGTATTTTAGTTATGCTGCTTTTTTACCATTATAAGTTATTGTAGTTGGTGAAGCTGTTTCTATAGCTTCTATTATTTTCTTGACTAAAGTTTCTGGTTTCATTTTTAAAGGTGTATTTTTTACTCAGTTCTTATCATTCTTCTATCTGCTATTTTAATTAAATGTTTTGCTTCTTCCAATAATAAACAATAACCTGTTACATCTCCTTGTGTTTTTTCAATATGAATATTTATGTTCTCTCCTGTTTTGAAAAGATCTTCTTGGTGAGCTGATAGATCAAAACAGAAGATTGGATGATTAAGTGCAAAATCTACATATTCAAACTGAGGTAGATTTCCGAATAATTCACACATATTTTTATAGTTTCTATACAATTCATTATAATCCTTTGTGGTTGGATTAATTGTTAAAGGTTGGTTAGAATAATTATCGTTGTTTAATCTTACTTGAACTTTATGGATTAAAGGATCTTGAGTTTGGTTCATTGCCACTCTAATGAAATTATTGTTATTCGTTTGAGAATCTGGTAAGTTCTTGAAACCAACTATTAAATATCTTGCTGGTTTAATAGTGTTAGTGATTGGCCATGTGGTGGATTCTCCCGTTAAAGTCATGCTAACCACCATATTGCGATGAAGAAAAGCTATTTCAATATCTTTAGTTAACGAGTTGAATATTCTCGTTTCTACTTCAATTGATGGTGTTATTACGGGTATGAAAAGTTGGAGATTCGTTATTTCTAATTTTGCATCTGAACCATTCTCTCCAAAGAATATCTTATCGTCGTTGATTTCTCTTTGTAGATGAATTTTATATGGTAAGCCTATGGAAACTTTTCTATGTTCCAACAGACCGAATAAAGGATATAATTTCCAATTTACGTAATTACCCCACCTATTATTCTCAACAACATTATTATACTGAAGTACTCGTTTTTCGAATTCATGATTAACTGCTCGTCCTACTCTTTCTATCGTGTTTCGAGCAACAACTCTCACTCTAGCTAAATCGGCATCATTTGCAAGATTTCTTACCGGTTCATTTAAAATACTTCCATCACCAACATCGGGTATCCAACCTGAGACTGAATCGAAATCTTTAGGATATAAAACTGTTTTCAACATTGTGTCGAATTCCCCAGGGTGTTTGATTGTTTCTATCGGATTTGAACCAGCTTCCAAAACCATCTCGCTAAATAAAGATGGAAAGAAATTGTTTTCTAACGTTGTATTTGTTTGTGGAACCCAATTTTCATTGGGAGTTCCATCTTTAATTTTAAAATCGCATCTGAATAAGCATCGGAAAAAAGCAACCAATTCGATAATGAATTTATTTCGAAGGTAATTCTACCACCATCATTCAATTGGGATTTAGAACCAACAGTGGGTGAGATGATAATATAATCCTCTTTTTTCTTGTTAAATGAATAACGAATTGGATCGTATAATCTAAAGATTGGATCTAGTATTTTATTTGCCATTTTTAAGGTTTAAAATTTGAGTAGAAAATTTCAAAAAAAGAGTTATTTTAATATGCTTTTTTTTGATGGAATGTAGGAAATTGATTGAAGGTTTTTTTTTGGTGTATGAAATGTAAGGGTGTTTAGGTGTAAGAATTTATAGAGAGTTTAGGTCTTTTTTAGTGTAAGAATTTATGAAATGTAGGATGTTTTGCTGTAAAAATTTATGAAATGTAGGGAATTTAGGTGTAAGAATTTATGAAATGTAGGGAGTTTAGGTCTTTTTGGGAGCTTATATATTGGTTGCATTTTCCCCATGAAATGAAATGGAATGGGGAATCCCCCTATGCGACCAATCTATAAGCTCATATACTCTTTTTGGGAGTTTATATATTGGTCGCATTTTCCCCATGAAATGAAATGGAATGGGGATTCCCCCTATGCGACCAATCTATAAGCTCATATACTCTTTTTGGGAGTTTATATATTGGTCGCATTTTCCCCATGAAATGAAATGGAATGGGGATTCCCCCTATGCGACCAATCTATAAGCTCATATACTACTTATCTTTGGTGTGGGAATAAATTTAAGTCCACGGTCTAAGATTGAATGCTGAAGGGGTGTGAGAATTTTGCGGCTCAAGTTAACTACAGTTTGGCCTAGCGGTGGCCTCTCAGTATTTTTATCCCCAGTAATTAGTTTAAAGACTTACTCGATGCTTGGAGCTGGTGTATCCAAAACAAATAAATGCTGTTTGCTGTTTCTGGAGACCAATGAAGATTATCAACTGGTTCGAATTCTTCTTCGTAGGGTGGTAAGATTGTTGCGCTGTTGATACTGGACTCCATCATCATGTTTTTGAGAGTGCCGAGGTTCTGTTGTGCTTTCTTCGAGATTTTATTTGAAATGGGTATACATGTGAAGAGGATCTTGGAGTTTGGGAAGGTTTTGTTGGCTGTGGCGATTAATTTCTGGGCTTGGTTAAAGGAGGTCTTTGGTAGCTGATCGGTTGTTGAGGCCTACATGAAGAATAATGGTAGTAGGTTTGGGATCATGGTCGTATGATTCCAGGATTGGGGGGAAGGTCTGGATATACGTCTCGACTTGGATGGAGACTGAGGGGTGGTTTGCTGGTCCAAAAACGCACAGAAGGAAGAAAGGTTGGCGGATCCTGGATCACGTGGTGAAGATTCAGATGGTGTGGAAGGGGAAGACGAGTCTGAAAGTGAAAAGAGAAGGGGAGTGCCCTCTCTACGAGACCGTTTACCTATGTCTGCTGGACTCGTTTAGGGGTTTGGTTCGGCAGCGTCCTGGCTCTAGACGGTGCAGGTGTAATGTCCATTTCAGTTGGTAGAGATATGGTTACTCTGATTTTTGTTTCGTTGATTGTTTGATAGAACTTGGTGATTACAGCTTGAGTGAGACGTTTCCCATAGGAGCGACAGGCCCAGGACAGCCGATTGAGCCATGTCCGATTGAGGGATCTAATATTCGCGTCAACAGCTGATGTTTTCATTGCTGGACGGATAAAACTATCCAACTCAGAGACTTTGCGTTTGAAGGTAAACGCTGGTTGGCCTTGCTGTTGAAGGGTAAGGATTGCCAAATGATGGAGGCACTGCAAAACTTGGAAGAACACCTTCACAAGTCGGTGGGCTGGTAGTCATTTCTGTCGTTGGTCAGGTCGATGGTTACCTCTTGATTGGTAGCTGTTGTAGGTAGGTCGGCGATGGGGTGGGATATAGCTGGATGGGTTGGTTGGTGGTCGGCGATTGGTAGGTGGTAGAGGTCGATGGAAGACAGGGCCGTTGTAGGGTACGTGATATTGGTTTGGTTGACGATTAGTGTGTCTATGTCTGGCTTCTTGCCAGTGGTTGTTGTAGTTGGGGAGCATAATGAAAATAACTTGAGGTTAGAAAGGGAATGTACAGCGGATGTAGCAGGAGGAAACTGTATATGCTAGCGTGAAAATGTGGGGATCAAATTATGCAAATAAGTCAAACTGGGTTTGGGGATATATGAAGTAAGATGAAAGTTATGATGAAAAATGCAAAAATATATATTTAGGTGATAAATAACGCTAACAATGATGTGAAAAATTATAACAAGTAAAACAAAAACTTACGCAATTGACACGAACCGGTTTTCGAAATATTATCCTTTTTCAAGTGTCGAGGAATGGTTACTATTAGATTAAAACCAATTTAATTGCACTCTTAAACATATTATGAAATTTCGGTCAAGTTCGAATTTGGTAATAATTGGATAAACGATTTTAGATTTCGGGGAAGGGAGGGTTTGATTCTCCCAAATGTACAGGCCTAGGGTGGAGCAGACACTTTATTTAGAAATTAGGATTAAGGGTCTTGATCTGTTCTTATTCTGATCTGAAATTAGAAAAAATAACTCGCCCGATGGGCGAGAAGTATAGTATCTGTTATGTACTGATTGTTTTTAGTTTACTATGAACAATATTATCATTTAAGTTTTTATTTTTTGAATATGCAACTATCATTTTCTGCTTATAGACATGGGGGAATTTCTCTTGAAGGCTCTTATAGTGGGCATGAACTATCTTGCTTGCTCGATTGCTGGTTGTATTAAACGGGACAACAAAGGGTGCTATGCCTACATTATGATGAATATTTAGTCCTATAGGTCTTGCTGTATTCAATGTCTCAATCCAATGGGCCTCCCTAGATTGACGGAATTTGGTAGTTTCATCTTCGGGCAAGTCAATTTCTATACGCTCAATTGGGATTAGGGTGAGATCGTCTATTGAATGGTCGTCGAGGTTGAAATGATTAGAAACAGGCTTGTCTTTCTTTAATTTGATGTCTGACCTATGAGCATTAAAGCGAGTTCGTAAATTATTCTTAGTTTCTCCTACATATTGTTTGGGGCATTTCTTGCATGAAATTAAATATATTACATTCGAATGTTCACATGTTAGATGTTCCTGGATCGGGTACCTTTTATTTGTAGAGTTGCTTACAAAATAATGAGTNTCTGATATAAAGGGACATGTNTTGCATCTACTGGACAAACATGGAGCACTTCTTAATCGAGATCTTTTTCCCATGATTGCATTTTAAAAAATTCCCCTTAAAGAAAACTTTTTTTTAAAGAGATGAGGTACATTGAACGCGAAATGAAAATGTATCAAAAAGTGACGTGCTTATTGTAGGTATTAACTCTACCATCTTAACTTATCAAAAGGTGTAGGAGTCAGACGATATGTAACCCTTGAAATAGCAGGGTGGTAATCTAAAAGTGGTACCTACGTCATTATTTGTCGGCTGGTATAGAGACAGAGAAACTATACCCACTTTTGTGAAGGTGCGGGGGTTTTAATCCTATATATTTAAACCCAATCGGTCAAACCCAAATATTTTCGGAAAGATGGATATTTGTGTAGTTTAATCATACCATCATACTTTCCCTCCACCATTTATGTTTAGTCTGTGGTTCCATCAAAGTGCTTTTGTAACTAAACTGATCTCTCATCGGATATTCAAAATTGCGTGCCCAGCAAAGAGTTCAGGGGTCACAGAGTCAGAGATCCTTACAAAACGAAAATTACTGTGATACCCAACACTAATTCCGGCCGTTTATATTATGTATCTTCGGAAAAGTGGAAAATCCCCCAAAACAGGGCCTAATTGTTCTCTTCTCCAGCCGATAAATCTCAAAATATCTATCAGAATAGAGATGAAGGTTTCGGACAAAGCCATGGTGGGCCCTGCTGACATTCTAAAGGTTTACCAGATATAAGATTGGTATCAACCACAAATAGATTATCGATCCTGGTTCCCGTCTTATCAATCACCTTATCTACACAGAAGAAAAATACAAATTGTATATAAGCCCGTGCGGTCCGTTATTAAATAGAAGGCTATTCTGATTAAACTGTGTGCTTAAGATGTTGAAATTGTTTTGCTTGTTGGCTGTGATCTGCGTCATCCTGCCTTTTGAGGAAGTGTTTACAGCCAATTGTTTCGATACGTGGTCAAAATGTAGTAAATGGAGCGACTTTGCAACTGGTGGGTTGTGGTTGGGCTGCAACGAATGCTGCAAGTGTATGGAGCGTACTGGTGGAAACTGTGTAGAGAGAGTAGCTACAGAATGTTTTAATGTCAAGGCGTATCAATGTAAGTGCTATGGAAGTAGTGGAAACGCCAAACCATCCTATTGTAATAAGTGGCCAAATACTTTAGGCCTTGTACGTTGTGGATAAAACGTCTACCAACATTCTACCAACTGAATTTTTTACATAAAACAAACTGAATTCATCAACTGAATTTCTACATCACACCAATTGAATTTCTACATTACACCAACTGAATTTCTACATTCGATCAACTGAATTTTTACATTACCCGAACTGAATTCAACTCAATATGGACATGGGGCAACACGAATGAAAAAATTCTGTTTTTGCGAAATAAAAAAAATCCTTTTTTTTGTGAAATAAAAAAATCCTTTTGGTAAAGAACTGTTGGTCTTAATTCGAAATATAAAGCGAGACGGTCAAGCTAGTTGCCCTGATTAGGCAGTTTATATCCCGTTTCGACAACAGTACTGCATACCTTTAACTCTTGTCCAATATTTACAGAAAATTATAATTGTACGTTTTTAATTTTCGTCTCATAACCCTTCGGTGCTATATCGGCGATGTAACTTCACATTGGAGCTCGGGCAAAAGAAATTCTTTTACAGTTTGAATC